GGTTTGGGAAGACCCAGCACACAACGACTACAAAGCCACGGTAGGAGACCTTCTAGAAGTAGAAACCAAAGCGTGGCTGAAAGTTGCAGACATGACAGCTGTAGAAAGTGTTCATCAAGGTACTGACTAGTCGGTGTCACATTCTGTGGCACGCCTCACCGCTCTATATGATTCACACTGCGGCCTTGCAGGGGACATTGGGAAGAATCCCACGACTCAATACAAAAGCTAGCTTAAAGCCCTCGTCCTGAGCAGACTACGCCCTCCCATCGCTCAGCATTTCAAGCAAACCTGCATCACCTGGAAGAGAGCCAATTTAGATACAATCATCCTGCATGCTGAACACGTGGAGGACCAGGAGCAGCGTGACATGGCTGCCAAAGAGAAGAAGAGACAAAAAATACGAAGGGGAAGTCTGAGCATCTTACATGCTGTTTCCGGCAAATGATGCCACAGAGGGGGACATCGAGGCGGGAGGGGCGCGGGCGTGGCAAAAGAGGTTGTCGACCTTATCTCTGCAGCAACTGGGACCCAGACACTTGTTTCAACTGTGGACAGAAAGGACATTTGGCTGCCGAGTGCCCTCGTAAGTCTGCTGAAGTCAGCGCTCCTCAAACACATCCAAAGTCAGACTAAAGGAGAAGGGGGAGCAGAGTCCGTGTTGTCCAGGGACCCCGAAGCCGCACAGCTTGGCAAGACAAGGCACAGACACACACACACACACACACACTCACACACACACACACACATGCACACACACACAAATGAAAACAAGAACACCACTAAAGCCATCAATGTATGATTTCCGCATGCATTCAGACAATAACTTACACAGATTGTTTCCTACACTCACTTTCACTATAAAGGAGACACTTGGTTGTGTGTATTGGGCATTTCCCTTGTGTCCACTCCTGAGATTGTGCAGGTGCAGACACAAAACTCTCTGTATCCACCGCACTTCAAACTGCTTGAACACAGCCCACATCCTGTCCTCTATGCCTGACTGGCAGCTGCAGACAGACACACTACCACACTCACACACACACAAACACTGATCACTTCAGTTCAGCTTGCACTTGACTCAATGTGTTCCCCCACCTGCACATTCATGACACCAAACTCATTGCACTGCACGGCACACACATCACAAAGTGCAGATGAACGTTTTGAGAAAGACAGGTACAAAGAGACCGACCACTGGGAAATGATAAGTGTGACATGTTTGTACTGGTCCAGTTGTGCTGCCGTTGTTTCTGTTTCCCTCTCTTTCGTTCAGGCACAGCTTTTCCAGCCAATGACTGAAGGCAATTACTCTGATATATGAGGAAGACATATGGTAGAATGATGCTTGTTAGCTAACACAAGATGATACATTTTCCATTACATCCCTTTCTTTTTTATCATATATGATACAATAGAAAATGTGCTTCTTAGAGTGGTTTCCATCAAATACGATAATTCACTAGGATTCAAGTCACATGATCATTGCTATGAGTAAGAATCAACTGAGATGAGTTAAAACATTTACCGTTAACAATATGGCAAGCATGCAGAAGACAGTAAGAGAGAGAAAAGAAAAGAACATGGGAGCTGGTGGCGCAGTGGATATTGCTGTAGTCCTCAGGCGGGCGGCCCAGGTTTGGGTCCAACCAATCCTTTCCTGTATGTCAATCCCCACTCTCTCTCTCCCTGATTTCCATCTCTGTCCACTGTCCTGTCTCTCCAGTAAAGGCACAAAAGCCCCAAAAAGAAGAAAGGAAGAACATACAGTGAGAGGTAGATGTGCACAGTCAGTGGTGAACAGAAGAAAGGTGAAACATAAACCTATCAACATCAGACAAATCCACACAACCCAGGGTAACACAAAGGATGCCACGGACACAAATGCAATGTGTTATTTGTGCGCAAAATGTTTGAATGTGGTACCATGAGTGTGGGGGAGAGTAGCCAACAAGGTCATGTGAGACAACAATAGATTTCTCTGCAGCTGCTACAGCCGTGAGGCAGAGAGGCAAACCTGCTGCCACTGGATCCAGTTCTGTTAGAAAACAAGCTACAGCTCTTAATTTACCACCATGGTGTTGACATAAAACAGAGTTTGAAAACTCTCCTTTGTTATCTACAAACTGCACAAAAGGTTTTTCTGGGACAGGCAAACCTGAAGTTGGAGCTGTTTTTTGTACAACCTTTAAATCAGACTGTTCTGCTTCATGTGTCCAAGTGACACTGTCATGTGCTGCATTGTGACATAATTCCTAAAAAAAAAAAAAAAAATGAGGTCATCATTTGCTTTTCAGTTTTAGGTTTTGGCAGATCTAAAATAGCCTGAACACAGATGGGAAAGAGGGTTTTTGCAATTTTACAATTACACATTATTTGGGTGTGAAAATAGGCTTGTGATTTAAAATAGCCTTGTGCACAACACGACCAAGTGTATGTTTTCCCTTAAAATGTGAGCACAAACCAATACTGACTGTCTTTGTGAACAGGCACAGAAAAATGAATTCATGCATTATACTTAACCCAAAGCACTACACTCAGTTCTAGGATCATGATCAACAGCGTTATTGTTATTTTATTTACAACCAAGAACGTGAACTTATCAGGGCTGTTGTGCTTTCTCTGTATTTTTGTTATCTTGTTAGACTAGCCAGCATGCGCCTTCCTCCCACAGGCTTACGGCAATAGCAAAAGGACAAGGTTGTATGCTCCTACATAATGTGCTACAAGTGTTGTAATCTTTGTTAGTCAGCCTGCTCACTTTGTTGTGTATTTCTCTGACCTTCGTTCAAACGAGATTGATGCTTACACCATTATGCTTCTCTACAAATAAACACTCAAAAAAAAATGTTTTGTGTCAACAGTGATTTATTTATTGTTCATCTCATCGTTCAGTAAATCTTTTGTTGTTGTTGATAAGATACGATAATCCTTTATTGATCCCCAGAGGAGAAATTAAAGTGTTGCAGCAACAAAAAGACAAAGTAGCAGGTGGTTTAGTATGAATACAATTTGGAATAAGAAGACATTAAGTTGAGCAGGCTTGTAAACTAAAAAAAAACATGTTGTTTTACTCACCTTGACCTGAATTAAGTCCCATATTAAGTGTCCCTGTGTATGGTAAAGCCTGATCATTTAAACACACTGAGGTAATGGTACCTGTGTGCAAACTTTTGGATGCTTAATGGTGTCAATATGCTCCTTATTGGATAAATTAATCAGAGCATCCGTCTTCAAACACTTAAAGAGGGCAACTAGCTTTTGGTCAGAAGTGAAGACATGAAACAAAAGCAGGACACATGATCATGAAGCTTTGTGTAACTCTCGGGTATATCAATAAAGTTAATACATTTATAATAATTGGGACAATTCAGTGGTAGCCGGATATCCATATAGGGCATGTCTGTACAGCAGCGTTATGAAAATACACAGACGTGCTCGCGGAAAACGTTTAACTTTTCGTCCTTTCACTTTTGTTCCTCTTCCATAGTTTGGCACCACGTTTCCAACTAAATCAATACATCCAATCAACTATTTGTGCATGCTGTATGTAATCATAGTAATAATACATTTTATTTAAAGGCGCCTTTCAAAACTCTCAAGGTCACTTACAAAGCAAAGATAAAAACAACAAAGTAACAACACAAAGATACAATTAACATTAAAAACACAAAAAAACATAAATGTACAGGATGTAAAGGAGTTATGAGGCCAGATGGAGAATGATCAGACTGAATATGCCAGTTTAAAAAGATGTGTGTGTGAGATTTGAAAATGGAGAGAGAGTTGATATCACGGATTTGTGGTGGGAGGGAGTTCCACAGGTGGGGGGCAGAGCGGCTGAAGGCCCAGGACAGAACCCTGAGGAACACCGGTAGTGACTGGAAATGGCTGGGATTTGAAGTTTTCCGAGTTGAGTGAACTGAGTGCGACCAGAGTGGTAGGATGAAAACCAGTGCAACGGTGTATCAGTGATTCCAATGGAGGCAAGTCTGTCAAGGAGTGTGTGATGAGAGATGGTGTAGAAGACTGCACTTAGATCAAGGAGGATGAGATGGTTAGAAGTCCGGAGTCAGCTGCCATGAGGAGGTCATTAGTGATTTTTACCAGTGCTGTCTCTATGCTATGGAGGGAGCGGAAACCAGACTGGAACTGTTCATAGAGCTTACTGTCAGACAAATGAGTGTGAACCTGAGATGCAACTGTTTATCATGTATGATGTAATGTGTATTATGACATTATTAAATTGAAGAACACTTTTATTTTACTTGAATCTCTTGAGAAGAGTTACAGACAAAAAGGCCACATGTGGGTACATGGAAGTACTCATAGGGTACGAACATAATGACAGCTTTTGAGGGCATTTCAGAAGACTAACCTTTGTACGTCAAATCAAACATAAAAAGTCAATTCTCCAAGTTAATGAGCTCCAACGACTTTTTCTGAAAGCTTCAATAATTCATTCCTTCCCAGCTTGTCAGACATCCATAATGAATAACATCCACAGTGAATTATTTACACAGTCATCCTTTTCTGCACAACTTACTGACTGACACTGAGTCACCCAGTGTGTGTGGTGTGCGTGTGTATGTTTGTGTAGGTTTCATACTGACATTAGGCTCTATAATGGGCTCACATCCAAGAGTTGGTAGTGACAACCTGTGTGAAGACAAACAGTACAAAGTATCATTCCACATGTTTTTGTGTACTACCAGCTCCCCCAGCATCACAGAGCAGGGACGTACAGTACAAAGTGCAGCAATGACTGAATTATTTGACGAAACCAGGACAGAATTTGTACATCAAAACAAATATAAAATGAAATTGCACGTGTATGAGATTCCCCTCTGCAGGGCCAGAATCCATGTAATATCATAGGTTGGAAATGGGAGTTGTGAAATGTGGGCAGACCAGTGAATCCATTCTTGGCTACAAACCATAAAATTGGCCAATTCTGTAAACTTTGTCCTCACAGGCTGAGTCAATAAATTCACCTGTCACAGCTTTCTGCCTTAGATTTTGGGTCAGAAAAAGTCATATTCAGCGGCTATGGCAATAAAGGGAGCACTCACTTGGCTCTGCTCACTAGCAGGTAATATCAAGGTTTTATTTACGTTTTGAGAGCGATCATGACAGAGAGGGACATTTACATAGACATTTACATAACAGGAAGCAAAGAATCCAAGTTGGATAAAGTGTGTGTGTGTGTGTGTGTGTGTGTGTGTGTGTGTGTGTGTGTGTGTGTGTGTGTGTGTGTGTGTGTGTGTGTGTGTGTGTGTGTGTGTGTGTGTGTGTGTGTGTGTGTTGCTTGCAGTTTTGTCCTTCTCTGCAGCTGAGGATGAAATTCTTCTTCAGAGCTGCAACTCACAAACTGAGCAACTATCTGCTAATTTCAAGGTAAACTATTCATGTTCCGAGAAAATTGCTGTCAAAAAAGCACATGAATTAATCCGGCATTGTGGTTATTTAGAAAAAAACAAAACAGAAATGACAAAATCCTTATTAGGTCTTTTGTATGTTTAATCTCTATTTCACAACAGCACGTTGTCAGAAAAGTAAAACCAGTGTTGTCTTAAATATTAACCAACAGATGGCAGCAGAGTGCATTGTACAACAAGCATCTGCCTTGAGTGCACTGCAGACTGCTTCACTACTGCTCTCCATGAGGAATCTGACTGATTCTCTGCACAAACAGCAGCTAAAAGGTAGGATCCTGAGCCTGAGGCATGTCTTTGTTTGGGTTCGGTTGTTTTACTCTATGATGATAAGTGTTTTTAGAAGTTAAAAGTTACTTTGGGATTTTGAGTATAAGGTCAAAATCTCCTGAATTTGGTTGAAATACCATTTTGAGGCGAAGGTCGAAATCAAAATACAAAATAACATTATTAATCTGATGGGTTTATTTTTTTTCCTGAACACTAATACTCAAGTTTTTAGATTGTACGTCCTTAGTTCCTTGCCCTAAATAGTGAACTCAAGAATGGAAATCATCCCTATTTCAGCAGTAGAGTGCCCATGAAGGCAGAAGGGTTAACCAAATTCACCCCATTATTCAAGGCACATGAAATCTATCGCTGTATTTAGTAAAGTCCACCTGGAACACAGATCACTAACTTAAGATGTTCTTATCACTGATGAAGACAAAATGCTGGGTAATAATATCTGCTGATGAATCCTTGCAGCTAGTAATTTCTGGAAGTGGCTTTTCATTAATGATTAAAATACACAGAATAAAGAGGGTTTTACTTGTTCAGGCAGCTCCATATTTCAACAGATTTATGAGATTTTCTTGAAAGATTGAGTACTGTGTTGGGCTAAGGCTTGATGTACTGTGACTGAAAGTAGAAAAAGGAAACAAGACGTACTTACTCAAAATGAACATCCAACTGATTCAATGTTTGATTTTCCACATTTATTAAATAATCGTGGATTTATAGAATGCCAAGGTGCGGAGCCATCGGAATGTCCCGATGCTGAAGTTCCCAACAACGGAGGGTTGGCATGTGTCACAGTGGCCAGCAAGCGCTACTGCAAACCTCTGTGCAACTGGGTGAGTCAGACATACAATCCTGGAAAACGTACAGCACTTTTTTTTACACAAGAAGAAAAATAAAGGTCTCCTATTCCTCCTCCTCCACAGGGTTATGATTTTGCGTTCATACGGAGGAGTCGTATTTATGATGAATGCAGTGAGCAGACGGGATATAAATGGAAGACTCAGTACATAGGAGGAAACAAACTGGCTGTGTGTAACGGTAAGCTGTCTTTTATTAGCTAATGCAAAGCTGTATGTAAACTTGCTCCCTAACTTTATCTCCAGCTTTCTTCATGTGAACTCTTGATTTTTTTCCAGTTCAGTTCATGTTTTATTACTTTTTAATGCCCTTAACTGTCTGCACACGAGAAAAACGCACATTATATATTTATACAGTGGCACTTTATGTAGGATGTCAAGTTAGGAAGTTGACATAACTTTCCCACTTTCCATTTTTAGATGCATCCATTCAAGTTTCTGGGGCAGCGACGGCCTATTTTCCCAAAGATCAGAACTGCCTAACAACCAAGAGCAGCAGCCTACTGAAGACGAGCACTATTCAACTTTTTACCTCCGAGCTGGAGAGTGAGGGCATACAGGGAGAGCCACAGAACGGCTGTTTAGTATGTGGAGGCCCTTGAGGCAAAGAAGTCTGGGGAAATACATGTTGGGCTTTAAAAGTTCCCCTTAAGTTTCAATAAGAAATAAAGCTGTGTAAATAATTAAAGAACAAACATTCATAAATATACCTGAACCTGAAGTGTTTCTTTTCTTGACTATTGGGTTATCTAGTAAGAGCTGATGTTTCATTTCTTCAGTCTCTAAGGTAGTGAAGCAGTTTGTTCAGCAGTGTACACCTTCAACTTTAACTGAAAACAAACTGTGGTCACACTTTTACTGAATACTTTAGCCATGCTAGCAGCTCTGTAATGGGCTGAGAAATAAGTAATCTTTGGTGTTTTTCATTGTAATGCAAAAAATTCAAGGTTTGGCCCAAAGGTCGCCAGAGGAGAAGCTATGTTGTTGTCAACGTCCAAATAATCTGTACACTAGGGCCATTTAACGATAAGCGTTTCTTTAAAAAGAAAAAAGAAAGAAATCCTGTAATGACTAGAAGAGAACAATACTTGTATTGTTGCCTCTCCATTGCCAAACAAATGCTATAAATGAAGGGTTTTATGTTTCTTGTTACACACCCCAAGGTAGGAAATAGCTGAATGCTAGCATATGGTATTGTGAGTTTCCAATGGGTAGCTAATTAGTGGTAAAGTATGTTTTTTTCCCCTCTAATAATGACATAACATCCCTCTGGAGTATGATATGCAACCTGTACCAAATGAGACCATTTAAACTTTCATCACTGAGCGTGTTGTTAGAGGGCAATGGTTGCAGAGTTAATATGACAGAAGAGGCTGTTTTTGCTGGAAAAAAAGGTGGTGCCTCCATCTCTACATCCATATGCTTTAGTCTGGTGACTAGCACCAAGGGAAATGACCAATATATCAGGGCTTGTGGCATATCTGTCGTACATCGGGGCCTAAACTTCCTCTTCCTTGTACTGCTCATTACTCATTGTTGTACGAGAAACTTGAGATGGGAGGATAAAGTTGAGAGACCACGTATACAATCAAGTTGTTATCTGCAGACGATGTTTAGAAAGCTAAAAAAGAGGGTGGAATTGCCTTCTACTGGTAACCAACAAGTTGTGGGATTGCATAAGCCAATGTGGTACATTATTTTTCTCTCTACATGTACTATTTCCCTGCTAACAACCAAAGCCCGTTCATCATGATTCATTTATACTACTCTGACTACAATCAAGAAGCAGTCAGTTAAAAAATGAAAAGTAAGGTTGGGTGTTACTTCTAAATACTGAACCACATTAGCAGCAGAGTTTCCCATGGTGCTGTCGTTGATGGGAAAATGCATTCGAAGACAACTGGCAAACACAACTGCATCACTTCAGCCGCCATTGAAGAGCTCACATAGGAACACTGGCATTAAAAGCCTGAATGCCATCTTCATCTGGCATCTGCTTTCCTCCCTTCTTCATTTTACTAAGAGTCACTTAGTATTTATGCCTTTAAAGATGTGGATGAGAGCGACAGTTTAAATGAGCTTAACCACTCGGCCAAATGGACTGCTTTGTCTGCTGTTCTGTCTGCTCTCACTTTTTTGCCAACGCATCCAGACGTGATTCACTGAGGTCAGGGTTGAAAAGCCAAAATGAGATTGCTGGAACTCATTAGGTCGCCATTGACATTCCACATCATTCTATTAGGAAATCACTCTAATCAGAGACAAAAATGACCCGCCGAATGACCCTCTGGTACAGGCCCACCGACCATCTAATCATCAATTATGGAAATAACAGTCTGTGGAATAATGGATTAAGAGTGGGGACCTGTAATGCCAGATATCTACCATGAGGTGGAAACAAACACACACAAACATTTCTTCTATTTTCTTTCTGGCATTTCCTTTATTTTAGTTTTGCAGTTTGGTTTATGGCTGTTTCCCCTTATTTGAACTTAAAACAAATGATATATATGTGTGTGTTTTCACCAGACTATTAAACCCTGACCTCAATCCACCCAGCTCCTGTGATAAAATAAAAACCTCCAGTGTAAGGCTTCATAACCAAACATTCTTTTTTGACCTCACTAATATCTTGTTTGGCTAAATGGGAACACATTCATGAAGCCAGGTTCTCAAATTTAGAGGAAGGAATTTCACTTGAATTTCATTTTGGTCCAGGTGTTTTGGCCAAACAGTGGTCATTCTCTCTTGTTACTTTGTTTCTAGTATTTATTCACCTTGAATAGCATCCTTTTATGTAAGGAATTGTACCCGTGGATCTCAAACTAAATTTGATGATTTGTAAACTCAAAATGAAACATTATTCATGTAGTCATGAATAATCTGGTTGACAGTATTTTATTACATCAAAGTATCTGTTTGCACAATAGTCTACTTTTCTTTCCCAATAAATGTATATATTGTTGTCTTTTTTGGGTGTTACTGTTTTCTGTATACCTGTGTTTACTTATTCTAAAGGCTTATCTAGGGATGGGAACTGAAGATCAGCTTGCCGTGTTGTGTCATCCATTTACATGCAACATACTTTAATCTACACATAGAAGCATTTAATAAATGAATCATGTATTTGTTGTCATGTCTTGACTTAGAAAGTGCCACTTAAATGTATTTAATCTATCATGAAAAAAGGAACATTTTACATCTATGTTTAAAGCTTTTGTGGTGCATTATTTTTTAGGTGTCCAGATAATCAAGTATTAAGGTAAGACAATGTATGTTTAAGTAATGATAGTAAGCAATATGATGACATATAAAATAATAACTTTAAAAACCTACTGTATACATATATTGACATAGGCATACTGATATGTGTAGAAAGGAGCATAAGAGAACATATTTCATATTTGATGTATATAACATATGAGATCTGGTTCTGAGTCCTTCCTTATTGGTTCAGTTTGTCAGCCTCTGCTTTAGTTTCACTTTTAGAGGTCATACAGAGATGTAAGCAGTACAAAAAAAAGGATTTTTGGCAATAACAATGTCATTAAGTTATCAAGTTTATGATGTATTCATCCTGTGTTGTATGACCATTATGTCAATGTGCTGTTCAGATTGGGGAGTTTTGTTTCAGGTTATCAGAGGCGGGGAAAACCTAACCATTGGATTATCAATGAGTGACAGATATCATGCTCATGTTAAAACAGAAAGTAGAGATTTGGTTGGAGAAGAGTGTTAATAAGATCCATCAGGGGGATGGAAAATCATAATGATATGCAAATGTACTTAAAATCATGTTTGTATGTGCTATTCGGTTCTAGACTTCAGTGCTCATTGTTTAATCATTTGTTTAATTCATTTGATTATTCAATAAACATCCTTGCAACAAAGAAGATGGTCTCCTTGAAATAATTTGAAACCACACTTTATAATTATTATTTTTCCCACTATAGTATGATTCTTAGTTTGAACCCTTTAATAGCAATGATGATCTTTGTACACTAGAGGGCAGTGTTAAATCACTTTTAAATGTATCTTCTGGTTGCAAGCAGTTGAACTGCAATCGCTCTGTTCATTGGTACATCTGTGTAGTTGTTGTTCTTGTGCAAATAAATAAATGTCAAATGCAATATTATAACTCAAACATCTAGGTTAAAAACTGACCAGACGTGTATTCAGTGTTTAGTAATGAAATAAAACAAATATCTCACTTACAAATTGTGTATTTTCATGTTACACGTTTATTTTGTATCATCTCATTGAGCAACAGGTTACACCTGTTCACATTTGAAATAGTGAGTTAGTGAATTGACTGTGGTGAGTCACAGAAAGGAATTTAGTCTGTTCACAGTAAAGAACCCTGTTTAGAATCTCTCTGTCTGTATCTTCCTGTCTTCTTTCTTCGCATATTTGTTTATTTAACAGAACAGACTACCAGTGAAACACTCCTATATCTCCATTGTGTCAAACCTAATGCTGCTCACTTCCCTGGCTGCTGTACAGCTTCTGAAAATAAAATAACAAATAATTAATTCACTCCAAATGCCTCCTTTCCCATTCTTACATTTAAAAAATGAAAAACAATTTGCTATGCCTTACTGTACTACTACTTTAAATATATAATCATTTCTGCACTTGTCTGACATGAAGAGTCTAATTCTGCTTTGTCAAAGCTTTGTTCAATATACGGCAACTTACTGACTTGAGGAACTGAATCTCAGAGCTCAGTGCCTCTCTAAGAAGCTCCATCTCTCCTTCTTTATGGATCTCCAGCTCCTTCCTCAGTCTTGGAAACATAAGAAATCCATGTCAGAAGCAAAGAGTAAAAAAAGATGAAAGGCAACTTCTAAAGTGAAGTTTCAAAAGTTCTTGCTCTGCACATAAAGTTTAAACCTTTGTTTATCTTTTCAATCACTATACTTGTTCTCAGTTTTACATCAACTTTCTACTTAATCTCTTTATACGGAACATTTTATCAATAACTAGATCAGGATGACAGCTTCTTTCTCTTTTACATGTCTGGTTTGATTTATGCAGAGGACTATGTTTCAACAGACATTTCAGACTTCAGTGTGTTTACATACACGAACAGTTCTGTGTGAGAAAAACTCAATCGTTTTAACACTGAACACTACTTCCAAAGTAAAGAACTTTGACTGATGATTTTATATAAAGAATAGTTTAGAATAGTGTTTGGCCCCAACAATATACCTTATTGAATATGACAGATACCTAGAAAATCATGATGGAGGTCTTATAAGTAATATTTATTTATATAGCACTTTTAAAACACTAATTTACAAAGTGCTTCACAAATAAAAACAATCAAACAATTCATACAATGAGAAAATGTTCATACATAAATCACAATGTCAAACAAGGCAACAGTAAGATCAGGAAAACACACACACACACACACACACACACACACACACACACACACACACACACACACACACACACACACACATTTGTGGGAGTTGATTTCAGAGAGTGGGGGCTAGAGCAAGAAAAGCACGATAAGCTTTGTTTTATAATGAAAACGGGATGAAAAGAAGACCAAGATTAGATGATCTGAGAGGATGAGGGGTGGAATAAGGAATGTGGAGGTCAGAAATGTAGCTTGGGTCAAGGCCATGCAGTGCTTTGTATGTGAGTAACAGTATTTTGAAGTGGATTCTGAATTCTACTGGAAG